TTTTTTTTGTAGTAGATTATATTTTAAAGAAAAACAATATTGTCTAATGTTAGATTTCAGAATTTGGATTTTCTTAGTTCAGTCACTGATTTTCTCTAGTTTTACTTCTTTCTGGTTTGTCTCTTCATTAGTTAATATAATGAGTGTTTTCTGTAGAGAGTGTTGAGATTTACTAACAGATAATGGTATTGAGGCCAGTGTGTTATCATTTTGAGTTTTGGACATAATCTCTTTATGGTGATTTTTCCTATATCAAGAGTGTATTCTTGAGCACCTAAGCATTAATATGATTATGAAGGAAAAAGGAAATTAATTATAGCTGATAAATGTCATAGTACTGAAGATGATAAATTTGGATATTTTTAGTTGTTTACTTATTTGTTTGTTTTTCACTGCCAAAAGGCAGAAGATGAAATATTCTTGAACAAAGCCATGATGTATTTGTAATTGGAGCATTTCGTGATAGCATTTTCCCAGATGTCTTTGGACCACTGATCTTGTGAGATATTTCTACCCCAGTCACCACCGTTTTCACACTGCAGAAAAAAATTAGAAAGGAATCTGTAAGAAATGTTTAGAAAAATATTAAGTAGAAGGAGTATTGTTACATTTGAAATTTAAATGCCAGATTGCAGGGGAAATTAATACAACTTTTTAAATATGGAAAAAGAAAGGAAAAGAGACTAGGATAGAAGCTACAGAGAACATCCTGATCAAGTGAATTTTTGTTTGTTTGTTTGCCTGGGATAAGGCAGATCTGTCATAGCTAAGATAGAAGGGAAGGATAAAGGATAAGGAAAAATCAGACGTAATGGTAATGAGGAAGCAAAATCATAGAGAAGGCAATGAGAGCATGGAATGAGAGTACAGTAGAAGAGAGGAAGACTTGATATGGGCTGAGTAGCATAAAATATATTGGAGGTCTAGAATGATGAAATACTTTAAATGGGAGATCTTACATCTCATATGTAGTCAACATTTTGGTGATAAGAGTACAAAACCCAAGTAAAAACAATTTCATGATCCATAAAATGAAAGTAAGTAGTCCAAAGGGATACTCTTGCATCCTTAGGAAACTCCAAATAATCTTTAAACTCTCTTGAAAACTAAGCCCCTGTGACTGCTAGGTTGTACAGTACTTGCCTTTGTTGTTGTTGTTGTCAGGTGCCATCAAGTCGGAACCGACTCATAGCGACCCTATGCACAGCAGAACGAAACAATGTCCGATCCTGGGCCAACCTCACTACCGCTGCCACACTTGAGTGCATCAATGATGCCACCTGGCTGATCCATCTCGTTGGGGGTCTTCCTCTTTTTCTCTGACCCTCCACCCTACCCAGCATGACATCCTTCTCCAGCGATTGTTTCCTCCGGACAATATGTCCAAAGTAGGAGAGACGAAGTTTAGCCATCCTGGCCTCCAAGGAGCACTCTGGCTGCACTTCCTCCAAAACAGATTTATTGGTTCTTTTGGCAGTCCATGGCACTTTCAGTACTCTCCTCCAACACCACAACTCAAAGGCATCAATTCTTCTACGATCCTCCTTATTCACTGTCCAGCTTTCGCATCCATATAAGGCTATTGAAAACACAATGGCCTGGGTCAGGCGCACCCTAGTCCTCAAGCTGACATCTCTACTCTTCAACACTTTAAAAAGTTCCTGTGCAGCAGATTTGCCCAGTGCAATACGTCGTCTGATCTCTTGACTGCTACTTCCGCGAGTGTTGATAGTTGATCCAAGAAGAATGAAGTCCTTGACAACTTCAATCTTTTCTCCATTGATAAGAATGTTGTTTATTGGTCCAGTGGTGAGGATTTTTGTTTTCTTGACATTTAGTTTTCTTAATTTTGTGGAGTTGTTTTTATAGGGAGGAAAAAAGGGATCAGGCAGAATAATAAGATAGTTTTTCTTTAAAATGTCTCCTAAGGTACACTACATTCAGCACTGATTTATCAGTTAATATTAAATAAATTAGGTTGTTTTGGGGTTTTCTTTAGTACCTAGCTAAGTCTACATACTTTTTTGCCCTTTCCCTTGTGTTTTAAACTCCACGTTACAGAACTCTGTCTTAACAGAATACAACTCTTAGTTATTTATTGCTGTAGTAAGTCATAAATCTCATCATTTGCTCACAATAGTGGCAAATCAAATCACTGTTATATGTACCTCTTTTGAAGCATTAACTCTGAATTAAGGTTTTATAAATCGGATTAGACAAACCTCTGAACTCTAGTTGACTAACAGATTTCTCTTGCTTCTCAGTCTCTATTTAAACTTGAAGTTTATACTGAAAGCTTTAAAAGCTAGTTTATTCCCATGGTTTTAATTCTTACAATGGCTGAAATAACTCTGTAACCCTTATCCTTTAATATGTTATGTAATAAATGTACATTGTTGTTAAGTGCCATCAGGTTGGTCCTGACTCCTAGTGATACTGTATAGGGTTTCCGAGGAGCAGTTGAAGTACCAACCTTGTGGTTCAAACTGACCTTGTGGTCATTGCTTTCCCTGCAGTGCCATATCAGGATTCCATAAACATACATTTATAATCAGTCCAAATTATACACTTAAAATCAGTGTCTGTAAATAAAATAATGTCTTATTGGGAGTTACTGTGAAATGAACAGCAGATAATCTGTAACTGTGAAGGCTTTATGTCATGTATTTGCACTACATTCATAAAAGTGTGCAAGGCCTTTGACTTCAGCTTAACCAGAATACTATCATGTTTCCTTGAGTACAGCAAACTGGCTTTAGGTATTAATGGAATCCGTGTAAAATGTTAATCACACAAATCCAAAGTACTTGTGTTTAGTTTGAAAAACATTAAAATAATTGTTGTTGGTAAGTGCCAATGAGTCAGTTATGACTCATAAACTTCGTATAGGATTTCTAAGAATGACCGATGGGTTTGAAATGATGAACTGAGGTTAGCAGTCTAGTGCTTATCCTATAGCACCACACCAGGACTCCATACAACCAAATAAGAACAAATCAAATAACAGAGAGTAGTTTAGGATGAATAAATAGTACAACGTCCCCCAACTATATTTTCCAAATCATTTTCTCTTTTAACTGTTTTTCCTTATTTAATTTTGATGTTTCTAGAATTTTAAAAGATACATTGTACTTCTTATTCTTGTTATCAACTTGGTTTATTAAATTCACTAACAGAGCAGTTCCTTCAAATGGAAGGCTAGGACTTAACAGCGCTTATACTGTTCCCACCCTTACATTCTTTTCTGCTCCATGTTTGAATTAGCCAAATTAAAATTCTGGTGGTGCAGTGGGCTAACCATTGCATTGCTAGCCAAAGGGTTAGTTTTGTGAACACTCTAGCCACTGTGTCAGTGTGCTTCTGAATAGATTTACAGCCTGGGAAATCCTGCGTAGCAGTTCTACTCTGTCCTTATAGGGTCTATGATGCAGAATTAACTTGTTGGCAGTGGGCTAGGTTTTTCATTTTATTGTGATTTATTTCACCTTCCCCCCTCCTCTATTATATTAATTTCCTTCATTCTGTTAGCTATACATTTATATTTTTAAGGTTGCTAACTATGCTTATAAGTATAACCCATATTCCATATTTCAGCTTTGGTTCATCTAAAATTTGAAAATTAATAAATAGCATTTACATCATTATCATAATTTTGTTGTTCACTATCAGATCAAATCATGTACTAAGTTTGTATTTCCTTAAATCCCAGTATCATAATTTCTGGGTTACTCAGAAGCGAGTGTTCTTAAAGGTCAAATGAATCATTCATTTACTCTTCCCTTTCTTCCCCCAATTACCAGTTGTTGTTGTTGAGTGCCATCGAGTCGATTCCAACTTACAGTGACCCCGTTTAGGGTTTTTAAGAGCAACTGGTGGGTTTGAACTGCTGACGTTGTGGTTGGCAGCACTGCAGCGCCACACCCTGGTGGGGCTCATTTACCAATGTTGTTGTTAAGTGCCGTCGAGTCGGTTCCGACCCATAGCGACCCTGTACAGGGTTTCCGAGGGTGTAAATCTTTACGGGAGTAGAAAGCCTCATCTTTCTCCCGCGGAGCGGCTGGTAGTTTCGAACTGCTGACCTTAAGGTTCGCAGCCCGATTTGTAACCACTACGCTACCAGAGCTCCTTCATTTACCAATAGTAATTTAAAATATTGATACATTTTCATTTGCATTTTGTTGTTAGTTGCCATCTTACAGTCCACCTCATGGAGACCCCATGTGGGTTCAGCACTCAACTATTTGCTGAAAGATTGTCATTTCAAATCCATCCAGAGGTGATGATATGCTTTTGAAGGTCTCAGTTTTAAAAGCTCCATGGAACGGTTTACTTTGCATGTGGTTCCTGTGAGTTTGTATTATACAAATAAATATACAATCGTCCCTCTCAGTCTTCTAACTTGCT